TCTTCCCTTTCCACACTCTTAGCCAATGACCTCCTGTATTATTTTCTTCAGATATAGAAAGCATCTATAAAGAACTACCTGATCTTCCCAGCAGAAAATGTTCCATCCCACCTACATCTGCGCACATAAACTCTGCCTTCCCTCCTGCTACCCAGGATGAAACTCTTCCTGTTCTACCTATGGCCACATTCTTCATTTGTGCACTGAATCTCATCATCTCCCTCCTTCTCAAGGACTTTGTCTCAACTCCCCAGAGATTAGTCCTCAACTCCCTTTTCTGTAAAAACTTACTCCTTAGGGGCTCCCACTAGCCCCATTCTTTGAAGAATATACTGGTGTCTGTAAGGACGACTGTTCAGCATCCTTGATGTGTCTATTCCTTCCCCTGAATGCTCAACTCAGTAGCAAGTTCTCTTGAGCTCTACCTTCAAAATGTATCTTAGGACCAATATCGTATGATTCTACTTATGTGGGGTACCTAGAACAAATTCAAAAAGACATGAAGTTGAATCATGGTTACGGGGGCTGAAGGGAGGGAATAAAAGTGCTTAATGTGTACAGAGTTTCAGTTTGGAATGATGAAAAGTTCTGGGGATGGATAGTGGTGATCATTACATAACAATGTAAACGTACTTCATAGCACTGAACGGTACACTTAAAAATGGTTAAACTGATAAATTTTATGCTATATATATTTTACCACATTAAAAGAAAGATCAGTTAAGAAAACAGATATATATAAATTTGAATCCAACTGCTTTTTACTACTTTTATTGCTGTCATCCTAATTCAAAACACTGTCATCTCTCACCTGCATTACAGCAATAGCCTACTGAAACATCTACTTGCTTTTAATCTTGCCCCCTGCGTCAGTTGGATCTCTACACACAACAGCAGAGTGATGTTTTAAACCACGAGGGAGATCCTATAACTTGCCAGATCAAAATTCTGTCAGAATAAAATTCAACTCTTTACAAAGGTCGTACTCTTCATCAAATACCTGGGTCTTTGTTCCTGCTTTCACTCCCTCCAGAATGCTCTTTTCAGAGCTGGCTCCCTCACTTCATTCAGGTCTCTGCTCATATGTTACACCATACCCAATCATCTAATCTAAACTATCCTCCCATCACACACATGTGCATGCATGCAGACATGTGTACCCATGACACATACATATATCCCTTCCTCTGCTTTATTTTTCTTAACAGCTCTCTTACTACATATATTTGCCTATTTACTTATTACTCTGCCCCTCTTGATGTAAGCTCAGTGAATTATCTACTGCTGCTTTTCTAGACCTTAACCATGACTGGTACATAATAGGAGTTCAAGAAATATTTGTTTGCTAAAGGCATGATGGGGATTGTTTGAGGCTTTGCATGTTAAATTTGAAGTTTAGAAAATTTCAGATGCAAGAGTGTTCCTAAGTGGCTCACGTCAGAAAGGATTCTCCTTTAACAGCAAAGAAGTCCTTCAGTAACCAATGACAACACTTCCGGAAGGACTGTTAACAGCAAGAATGAGTGGAGGGAGGGGAGAGTTGAGATAATGGATGCCAGAGTGCTGAGAAAAGTCTAAGATGCTGGTGCTTATAATATTTTATTATTCATAATTGTCATGTTGATGAGAAAGGACTTAAAGGTCTCTTGAAAATATTCTTCAGAAGATTATGCTATTTATGCAAGAAATAGACTTGTGGAAAGAATCCTATGGTATGCATGTCATCCCTAAGTGATGAAGAGGAATGGCACTTTAATGAGTAAAATGCTGAGTGTATTCAGACACCCCCAGGGTCGTGCTAAGTGTAATAGGTGGTGATAGTATTATTGTGGTATCCTGGTGGAGGGTCTAATTTCAGGAGGCTAAATTGGGGTTTCCCAAAATTGAGCTCCCCTGTTGTATTTTAGATTTCTTAGACTTTTGAAGAGGGAAATTAAGTAGGTGAGATTTTTACAATTGTTATAGAATAAAATTTTATTTTAATAAGAAGAATTACATTATCACTAATTATGATATAAAGAAAAAAATAATGTTCAGATTAGAACAGAGAGTTACATTAAAGGTCTATGTTCTTAGTTCTGCTGTTTCTTATTTTAACCAGGTCAACTTTTCCTCCTTTTTTCTCAGTCAGTCCTATTCTGGAGGCTTCCAGGTTCTCAGTGGGCACTTTGCTTTACTGCTAACTGAATGGAGATCTCAAGGTCCTGCTCTACTTCCGGAGCCTGGGCCACTCCTTAAGCTCTGAGGCTCTCGCTGCTCCTTCCCTGCTTTGCGGGGTGAATGCAGTAAAAAGAGAAGTAGAACTAATGACTCCTGAGTCTGACTTGGAGGGCGACCTGCGATCTCCATTTGCCTGTGATGGAGGGGGCCCAGGGACATGGGACTTTCAATGCTAAATCTGAGAAAGTCCCTGGGAAACTGGGACAAGTTGGTCACCCTCCCGCTACTAAGTTCAAGGATAGAACTGGTGGAAGAGCTAAGGCATGGCATCATTCACTACAGCTTGTGGCAAATTCTTGGCCCTGAGCTTATAACTTCCTGTGGCGTCAGGGATCTCCTCTGGGCATCTTTAACCTTCTTCTTCTTATTTAATTATTTGCACTGAATGGAAGTCTGTGGATTCCTATTAAGCCTCAAATACAGTCCCCAAAACAAAGAGGAAAATTGTGTTTATAAATTATGGCGATTGCAATGACTATTTGCCTCTCTCTGCCCCCAGCCTGCTCCAGCTACTATCACTTAACCCAACCTAGGGGCTCAGCCTCTACCCCAGATCTGAGGCCTAATCCTGTTTGTGGACTCGAAACATTTTAGGAGTCTCAAGCCAGCTTCTCTGACCTGGTGCTTCAGCTTGGAACCTGGGTCTGTGTTTATCCCCTACTTTGCGCCCTAGACCCTTGACTGGGATTTCACTTGGCAATGTGTTTGCATGCCACTACCTGCCTTGATGTGCTCGCAAGGGTCCAGTGTCACACGAGTGGCATGAGGCATGTGCCTGGGGTCTTGGCTCCTCCAGCATCCCTGATGCCCTGACCACCAGCCTTGGCCTTCTCCTGGACTCTATGCTGCTGGGCTCTGCTCCTCACGGAGGCCCGGCCACTGTCTATGAGCCTCCCCTTCAGGGCAATCCCCACGCATAGCAACTCTGTGAGCTTTGGAGACAGGTGCTTCCCCAGGCACAAAGGTTACAAAACAACGTCCCCTCTGGGATGACTAATTAGAAAAGAGTATCCTTTCCTTGGGCACCTATGAGGCACAGGGCTTGGCAGACAGAGCCCTGGCTGCGTTTTAACTCCTGCTGGCACCATCGTAGCTGGGTGTTTAAACTTACACAACTGCACACCTAGCTCTCCTCCTAACACTAACAAATACCTGGCCCAGCTGCCACCAGGACCTGGCACAACGGCATGCTTTGTGTGTCTGGACAAATTTGGTCTCACTACTGAGCACTGAACTTGACCCTGCATTTGCTCTTTGTCTACCCTGCTCCCATCTTCTTCAGCTTTCAGGTTACTCCTATTTAGGCTCATTCTTAACCTGCTGGTGTAAAAAAAAGGAATGCTATAGCCTATAAAAACCTAAATGGATAATATTAATGATATGAGTTTTGTCCTTCCTGTCAAATATTATAATAAAATTCAATTTTAGTTTAACAAAACCTACCACCCACTGGCTATAGTGCTTTGTTACTTTGGATCTCTGCTGGTTTCTGGATGGATTTTCTAGTCTTTGCTACTCTTTTTTTCCCAAAAGATGTTTACCTTTGGGTAATCCTGTGTTTTCTCTTTCTAAAGATAGTTGAAGATTCTTAGAAGAGAGTTTTTTAATACAATGTTGACTTCAGGTCTACACCAAAATCTATTATTCCATACTTCTCTGTGAAAAAGATGAAGGTATGAAACTTGACTGCTTAAAACGTGGAACCAGAAGAGAGAGTACTGGAAAGAGAAGTTGTGGTCTGATAGGCTGGACATCCTAGCTCTGGGAGGAAGGGGGCAAGAGCAAGCAAAATCCATTTGGGACAGATGCAGAGAAAAGACTGGAGATGAGAAAAGCCATTTGGACAGGCTGAATCACATTACACTGAATTTCTGAAAGCTTATCAAGCCAAAGAGAATCTTTTGTTACTTGGAATTGCAGGCTTTGAAAGTTTAATCAATTAAATCCAAGTTTCCCTGATGGAACATACAATTACCAGAAAGCTTGAGCCTGCCGCAAAGCCACGTGTTACTTTGTGAAAACAAATTGAATTTTATTTTGTGAGGAAGGTCAGTAGATTATTTTCATACTTCTACCACATTTAAATGCAAGCTACTGAGCGTTCTGGGGAGCGTTGCTGTTTTTACAATGCTACCTTCTCATAGTTAAATGGGTACACAATAAATACTGCATAGAACACATAAGTACTTAACAGATAATTTCATTGTAACTATGGGCTAAGTACTATGTGGTACCCATAAATACACACATATATCTAAATATGTAGGTATCTAGAGACAGTGAATGAATACATACATAAAATTAAGAGACAGAATTAAAGTTTCATCAACATGGTTACACATTATGCTTTAGTTTAGACAATGTCAGTTCCCTTGAAATGTCTTTGCACAGCCAGATCTATGCTAAGATCAAAACCTGTTTTTTTTTATTCTTTTTTTCTTTTCTTTAGCCACCAAAAATAGCTTAATAAATAGAAAAAAAATTCTCCAGGGTGCTTTTCCTCCTTAGAGTATTGTGTAAAAGATGTAGAAAAAAGTTTGGAAAGAAAAGCTTATCTGCATTTATAAACCCCAGACAGGGTTGAATTTTTCACACATAATAAATGAGCTTGAGTCCACTAATTGGGTAAACAATTATTGCGCCTCCAATCATCCTCCTCTAGATGACTTCCTCTAATGCTAACCACTGGCCCAGTAGAAAGTGATCTGTGTTCAAAATCTGCTCAAGTTTTCTCACTTTCAGCCTATTTGAAGGCTGAGTGGGAGCAGTAGCTGACTTACTTGTATTTATCTTCTGGAGTGAAATATGCTTTTCCAGTTGTCTCCTAAGTTTCACCTCTGCTCCGTACTTTCCGGTGGTCCCATTGTCGGCCAGAATGAAGTGAGAATGCATGCTGTTGAGAACAGTGAGCTTGCTCATGGGATTGGACATGGTCTGATACGGCCGGACAACCTGCAGAATTTCAAAAAAAGGGGCAAAAGTCAGAGAAAAGAGTGAAAAATATGAAAAGGAGAACCAGACAGACAGGAATGAGAGAGAGAGAGAAGGGAAATCAATTCTTTGGTACAGTGAAAGGATAGTCTACATCCTCCTCCTAATACTGCTTTGGGTAGAAGCAAGATTTACAGTAAGTGTTCCATTAATTTTCTGGATTCATACAGAAATGAGAGTTTGTGTTTTCACTGTACTCAAAAACTGGCAAGTGAATGTCTGTTTCATTTTGAAGTTGACTGTTTATATGCTGATGAACCAAAAATAATTTTTAAAACTTAGCTATTTTGTTTCTTTCTTTCTCCTCTCCTTCATGTCCATACATCTAATAGGCAGAGAAGAGCAACCATGATTCTGGAGTACAGTGGAGGGTGGGGAGTGGAGGGTGGAGAATGGGGTCAGGGGTGATCTTCTTTGTCAAGCCCATTCAGCAATCTGAAGGTCTGTTATTTAAACAGACCTTAAGACACCTTAAGGTGTCTTATTAGACACCTTAAGTGGAAATGCTGAATGTAAAATAACTGTATCATGATATAAATAAAAATCAGGCTCACAATGTTCATCTCTGTCTTAAATTTTTGTTGTGTTATTTTAATTTCATGGTGAATCAGACTACCTGAAACAGAACAATTCTTAGTATGGTCTTTCAGACTTTTGATCTGAAAAGAAAAACAAAACCTATTGTGCGCCAGTTGCTTTATATACATTATCTATACTCCTTGCAACAATCCTGCAAGGTAGATGTTGTTATGTTTATTTTGTAGATGAAGGAACAGAGATGGAGATTAAGTAGGTTTTACAAGAGTTTACCACGCTCAGAACCAGAAATCACAACCAGGTCTGCCTGATTCCAAAATCTATGCTTATTTATTCCCCTTTCCCAAACTGCTGAGACACAATGGAAACAAGATGATGTGTTGGAAATCTACTCCTAAAATATTTAGGCAGAAATTTCACTCAAGACTATGAAAAGGAACATTTAACCAACTCACTGTTACATGGTGTCCATACAGTTATTTCTGTACTGTATCACTGAAAATGACAAGACAGAAATAAATGCTAAGGGACTTTTATTTCTGTGCCTTTAGGCAGTGTATACATTAATTATAGAGTTGAGATGCACTTGTTCATTTTAAGTATATAATAACTCATCAGGCAAAGCTGTAGTAAGATTAAGTAGCTTGCTAAAGGAATTACAAAGTGATTCAGTAAAGACAGCATCAGTAGAAAAGATCTCATAAAAGTCATATTTTACACCTTGATGCTGATTCAAAACCCCACATTTCTGCATGCCTGGCAAACAGAATCTACTCAATGAATAGTGAATGGATTAATTCAAAAGACTTGAGACAGACATGCTTTTATTAAAAGTTGAAAAATAAAAACCCCCTCTTATCTGAATTGTTTGGGAATTGATCTAATCTAAATTTAAAATGGGTAATTCTGAGCTTTTAAAATATCTTTCAGACCTTTTAATAAATGTCCCTATTTGTTAATATACCATTAATATACCATTAATTCACAGCTTATTCTAGATGGCTCTCATTTATAAAGGAAGCCTATAAATTTGTGATTATTGTTTCCAGTAATCACATGGAGCAGTGTTCAATTACCCCCTTGTCTAGATGAGTGAATAAGAGTACCCCCTGAACTACGGAGAGAGTGGTTGGCTAACCCCATCCTGAGTTCTTTACCACTGGAAGAGTAGGTCGCTTGTGGTTAAAATTCCCATTTTGCTGTTACGCATTTTTGATCATATAACATTCATTCTATAACAGAGTGCAAGTTAATAAATATTAATGCTTTGTTGAAAAAGGCTTGGCAGAAAGACTTTCTCCTATTCTTAAAGTACCTCTGCACTGTACTTCTGGACAAAAGAAAAAGCTTTAGGTTACTGTTTTCTCTTTCCTAACGGCAGTTCCCCAAGGCTCCATGCCAAGAAGGAGGGAACCCCAAAGCAGTTCTGTGAGGGGCATGGGACAGTGGATTTTCTAGAGGTTAAACTGTTTGTGATGGAGAACTCCAGACACTTGTTCTAGATGAGATACGGGGCATGTTTTCGAATTCTTGGGAGCTTAATTAAAGACCAGCAGTGAAAGTGATGTTTTCAAACAAATAAAGGAGTGAAAATGATTCTGGGTCAACCTGACTTAATCACCACAATCTGAGAATAAAAGAACATAATTAAATCATCTGACTATATTCTATATATCTGTTTCCCCCACCACAGGATTCTAAGGACATTGGTGCTTCAGCCTTCTGAGTTTTGACCTTCGTTTCTTGTGAAACATGGTGCACCAGCTCTTTGGAAATACGGTACATTTGAATTAATCATGATAAGAGGATCAAGTTTACAGTGTCACTCATGAATTTTAATTTCTTCATCTTACTGCTCCCCATTTCTTTGGAGCTTATGTTAAAGTAAGTTAAAGGTAGTTATATTTTGCCAGGGATTTTTTTCTGCCAAATAATGGAGGATATAAATCCAAAAAATAAGTTAAATGTCCTAAATTATTTTCCAGTCATGACTGGAGGAAGGTATGTTGAATCCTGGAACAATCATGAACGTTTGAGGCATGGAAATCTCTTTGAATCCCAGTTCTGTCAATGGCTGTGTGAATCTGAGTCTCACATTTTTAATCTGTAAAAGAGAAATGATAAAACCACTTAACTCATGGGGGTTAGATGAGATTATATGTGCAAAGTACCTGGCACCATGCCTGGCTCCTAGTAGGCAATCTACAAATGTGAATTTCTTCTCAAGTCCTGCTTTATCTTAACAACTATAAACTGATTTCCAGTTGCAAACTAGTGACCAAAATGAAACGATGGGAGACAAATCAGTCACTTTTGTTTTACACAGGGATTTAAATCAATCAATATGAGTAAAGAAAACAAATTTATCAGTTGCCAAAATATGCAAAGTGGTTTTTTTTGCATGTCCTCCTAGGTCATTTAAGACGGTGATATTCTGGAAATATTTGTTGATTAACTGCAAAGTTGGAAATAACTTCCCAAATACTTCAGAGGAATGCATTTTGGTCTAACTTGTCTACAAAATACACTTAATATTCTTCATAACAAACATACCAGCAGTCTATTTTTGTTCAAGTTACAATTTGCATATCTACAAAAGATTTGCTGATCTTCCTGTTAAGTTTTTCAAATAGAAAAAAATAATGCCTTTGTATCACATGAATACAAATGAATTTTTCCTTCTGACAAAATTTTAGAGGTAATGTAAAACTTTTATTGTTAAGAGCATAACATAAAAAGGACTTTTTTGGAAATGTGTATATGTGTGTGTGTGTGTGTGTGTGTGTGTGTGTGTGTGTGCATGGGCATGTTTGCATAGCAAGAACAATTGTGACCTGTAGGTATACAGATTACTCTAGCACGTTTCTCAGCCAGTGTTTCCTGGGAGAATCAAGCCCTAATGCTCTGCAGTATTCATTGTATGTAATGGATCACCTTCTCTCCTAAGAATATAGGATGGTCCACGTTATGTACCATCCTTGAGAGAATTGAGAAGAGAGTCATTCAAATAATTTTCTGTGTTTTGTAGCTGAAATGAGGAATCTGGGTCGGGAAAGACTGAATTGTGTCTGAAAGGACTACATATCAAGTGATCTTTCATGATTGGTAACTACATTGGTATCTATACCTAGAAGGGAAATCTGCTTAGAAATGGATTTTAGATACTTAGTATTTCACTCATTAATCCATTGTCCACACTTTGTATTGGCTGATTGGTAAAGCTCTGGTTCTAAGGCCTCTGTGTACCTTGACTTTGCAACAAAGAGGGAATGTAATAGAAGCTGTTCAAGAAGTTAATAGGTGGAGGGCCTTTATATAAGATATTTGTAGGGCCATTATCATTGCCAGGAGAGAACCGATCTAGAGACACTGTGGAGAAACTGAACATCATTCGTGTGTTGGTGCAGCGTGCTGCGTTTATTTTACTTGGATGGCTGAAATCGATCATTTGGGAGCTGATCTAGGACACCTGCTGGAGTTTTCCTAGCTATTTTCATGCATGTTCTGGTCTCACCCAGGAGTACTTAGTAGGCAGTTAGGAGATGGGACTTCAAGTTCTAGTTCCCCTAATTACTTTTGTGAACTTGGGCAAGTCTTCAAATTTATTCATTCATTCATTCACACACCCATTCAGAATTTCTCTAGGAAATGTATGTGATAAGTATTGGACTGGCTTGAGGAGACATATAATCTTGCATCTAAGTAATATCTCAAATAAATATTCAAAATATATTAATCGAAAGAAACTTTTTGGAGGGTGGTTTTCTCATCTGTAAGGTAGAGGATTTGACTATAAATTCTGAAGGCTTTCTACCTCTAAAATTGAGTCTGTACAGTCTGTATTAAAAAATACATTTGCCTTTTCCAAGTTAGCACAGAACAATGACCTTCTGTGTGTGCTGACCACAAAAAAAGTAGTTCGCTAATATCTTGGGGTCTCTTCCATTTTGTGGTGCTTTCCATGACGCAAGGGCAGTTTGGGTATCTGTAACTTCTTTCCTGAACAGAATTGAATTGAGTTAAATCAGGTTTCTGAGTCATCAATCACAGCCTTCTGCAATCCCAGATGTTATTACCTGTTGAGGTGTGTGCCAACCTGCCCCAGGCAATACCAGGGTAGGGGATGTGCAGCCCACTGAGTCATTCTTTCCCACCTAATAGCACCATGATTATAATTTAGGCAGGAAGAAAATTAGCATTCTTTCACTACTTACTGTATGCCAGGCACTGTGATAGACACTTTTACATGGATTAATCCATTTCATGCTTATTTTAAAGACAAAACTATAGAGGCTCAGAGAAGTAAAGTGTCTTGACAAGATCTGCCCCACTAACCTCACTGTTTCCTATAAATCGCATGTAGACCTTAAATTCCTTTACAGGGCAGGAGACATTTAGAGGAAAGACAGAGGACCCGGCCTGAT